TACTTATAATAATTACGATCGAAACCCGCGTAATATCATTATCATTATTATTATTATTATTATTATTATTATTATTTGTTAAAAGGGTAATAATAAATTATTTTATTTTTTAAGTTTTATTTCTCCGACTTATTATTAAATTTATTTGTAATCGAGTTTAATTAAAACAAAAAAAAATTACCCAAATCGGGTAATATAATACCCCCCCCCAAATTATTTATCAATCGATAATTAATTAATTAATTAATTGATTATTGATTAATAAACCTAATTGGGTAATTTTTTTACTTAGAAAACTTAAACCAAAAAAAAGGAAAAAAAGAAAAAAATTACTCAAAGTATTATTATTATTTTTTTATTACGCATGTCAACGCGTTAAAATTAACCGCATACGATAAGTAATAATAATAATAATAATAAATAATAATAATAATAACAATAATAATAAATATCTAAACGCGTGCATAAAGCAGAAGACGTCGTTTTTATTTTTTTTTATACAACGGTAAAAAAAAAAAAATAACCGGAAATAAATCAAGTTTTTAATTACGGGTATAATTTTTCATTTATTTTTTTACGCATATTCTTCAAAATGGCAACATCGCAATTTAAATATTATTAATAATAATAATAATGATAAAAGAAACAAACAAACAAACAAACGAAAAAACAAACAAATAATCGATAATTAAATTTAGGCAAGCGGAAATTTAATTTAATTGTTTTTTTTTTTTTTAATTTTTCGATCGTTAATAATTAGACATTTTTTTCAAAACACGTAGTAAATGATTTAGGTTAATTATTATTATCATTATCATTATTATTATCATTATTATTATTAATCAATAATTATTCGACTAATTATTAATAAATATCATCATTGATATTGATGACGATGATTACGTAAAAAAAAAAAAAAAAAAAAAACAATTACAATTATTTAATTTTAAACACGTTTTGTCCACGTGCGTGCGTGCGCGTGCGTGCACGTGTGTGTGTGTATGCGTGTGCGTGTGCATCTCTGGTATATGCAAACAATAATAAAAGTATGCAAATAACGACCATTAAAAAAAAAAAAAATTCAATTATAAAAACAAAACAAATATCCCTCTCCCATTTTAAAGGGAGAGAAGGGGAGGGGAGGGTGGTGGGGAGGAGGAGGAGGGAGTCGTGCATATCCTACGCATTTACGAATTACCCTAAATGGTATTCGATCCTAACGAAGTTATCATAGTATCAAACTAACTATAATATCAGTAAAAAAAAAAAAAAAATTACGCAAATAAACAAAATGGCGTCCTTCGTAAGAACTAACAACTCGAATGTTATTTCACTAACGGTACGCAATATATACAATAATCGTAAATTTGATTCGTCGAACATTAATTTATATTATTATTATTATTATCACATGCGTGCGGTGCGTGTGTGTGTTACGTATTTGAAATCATTCTATCGACATTAATAATAATAATAATAATAATAATATTTAATCATTATATTACGCATTCGTTGTTTTTAATATATTATATGATTATTACATAATTTTCGTTCGTCGTTCGTGTGTTTTCGCGAATCGTCAATCTTTTTCGCGTTTTTTAAATAATGATAATGATAATAATAATAATAATTTTTATAAATAAGTTCATACTCATCATCAGTACTAGTCAGAGTTAGAATCAGAGTCAGTTAAAGAAAGAAAGACAGAAAGAAAAATCAAGAAGTCATTGAAGTTACTTCCTACGCGGTATATATCAGTGGCGTAACCAAGGCAAAAGCAAAAAACGTTTTTTTTTTACATATATATAATAAATAAACAAAAGGAACAAAAAGAAAAAGAAAAAAAAAATAACGACGACGACCTTGTTTTTTTTTTTTTTTTTTGCACCTCCGCACCAACCGTTCCAACCTGTACCTGTTGTATTATTATTATTATTATTATTAACGTGTCGCATTAATTATTTTTGTTTTATAAAGGAACAACACTCACTTTTATCATTATTATTATTATTATTGTCTTTGTATTAAGAAAAAATAATAATAACAACAACAAAAAAAAAAAAAATTACTCATCGAACTTTGATTTTATTCTACGTCGTCCTTAAAGTTTCATTATTATTATTATTACTTATAATAATTACGATCGAAACCGCGTAATATCATTATCATTATTATTATTATTATTATTATTATTATTATTATTATTATTTGTTACAAGGGTAATAATAAATTATTTTATTTTTTAAGTTTTATTTCTCCGACTTATTATTAAATTTATTTGTAATCGAGTTTAATTAAAACAAAAAAAAATTACCCAAATCGGGTAATATAATACCCCCCCCAAATTATTTATCAATCGATAATTAATTAATTAATTAATTGATTATTGATTAATAAACCTAATTGGGTAATTTTTTTACTTAGAAAACTTAAACCAAAAAAAAGGAAAAAAAAGAAGAAAAAAATTACTCAAAGTATTATTATTATTTTTTTATTAAGCGTGTCATCGCGT